GTACATAATGTATAAGAATAAACATTGTTTTAATACTCTCTATTCTAATGATATTTCTGTGAAATCCTAGTGATATTATATGTACAATACTCAAGGGGATTTCACAGTTAATTATAGAATTATTAAATATAAATTATGAATTAAGATTAAATGTAAATACATATTTATTTATTTATTTATTATTCTAACAACAATGTATACTATTTTCCAGTATTCAATTAATTATTATTATTGCAGTTACTAGGTACATTTCACGTACTGTGAAATGTGCTCTGTGGCTGACAGTGATCAGGAGAAGGAATCCCAGTTGCACCATCTCTGCTCTGATCAGCCACACCAGCACGGGCCAAACCGTCCAGTGAGAAGCGGAGATGCTTGGATTTGTCTCTTCATTTGTCTTCTTCTTCTTCCTCGTCATCTGAATTCTCAATGTCCGCCTTGACCAGAGCCAAGAGGGATTGCAGGTGCACCTGCTCCTTGGGTTTCAACACTGGGTGACTTGCCAGCTCCTGTGCCTTGATGTAAAGGTCCAAACCTATGGGATCAGATAATTCAAAGTGTGTTAGCTGGTGTTGATTGACCAGTGGGCCATATTCAAATGAAAAGCAAATCTTACGTGATTGATCTGTGATGAAATTATGGGCGGTTGTCAGCTGGTCTGAAAAGGTAATGAAACAAATAACTCAGCTTTGACCCAAAATTGCAGGCAAATTGGGTGGTTACATCTAGGGTCTCACTGTTAGGGCCCCCCTTGGGCCTCTCCACATGGCTGGATATCTGGCAAAGGGGGTTAATTTGACCCCTTTGCGGGCCCTCCAGCTCCTCAGGGACCCCCTTGGGCCCCCCTTCAGCCTTCAGGGCAGGATATGTTGCAACCAGGCTGAAGTTGGCCCCTCTTGGGGGATGGAGACCCAAAAAAAAGAAAAAAATGGCCCCATTTGGGGGATGGAGATCCAAAAAAAAAACAAATCCTAATATTTTTTACCCCAGTTCTGTTTTTTTGGCTGCCAGATTGGGTCGGATTGGCTTTAAATCTGGTGTGCATGGGTTCTCCTGCTTCCTGCTTTGAACACGTATCGGGGTGTTTGGGGTCCACACAGGTTGGTCCTTCGGTCCAGCGTGCAATCTGTTGTTGGATCGGTCGATGCTTGGTTGGTCAGTGGTTCTTGGATATGATGAAACTCAGGATTTTCGCCGAGAGAAAGGGGAAGAGACCGGGAGAAGAAGACCTTGAGGAGAAAGCTCTGAGGGAGAAAAAAATGGTCTTGAGGGCCCAAAAAGGGGCTAGAGTCTGCTAGCTTGCGTGACGGAAAAGCGTACATGCTACAAGAGGTGGTATTTGTTATTGACCTCAGGGAAATGGCGCAGAAGACAGATGATTTTTCATTTCTTAACTCCGGAGCATGAATATTTTATCTACATACAGTATGGGCTGAGTTGTGGGACAGAAGGTGAAATTGGATATTCAGCTGGAACTAAAGAGAAGGATAGTGACAGATGGAGAAGAGAGTGACATGACTGTGACAGGAAGAGAAGAAGGAGGAGAGAGAATGGCACGGGGCTTCAGAATTCCAACAGGATAGGTTTGGAGGGAGGTGGTGGTTAAGGGTAAATGCATATACATATGTGTTTAGGACCAAAAATTTGTGGTGTTCAGGCCTGCACGCCAACTGCATTTCTACACTCTGCAGATTGGTGTGCAGACCTGCACACCAATCTGTGGGTGTGTGGGTGTACAGACCAAACTATGGCTGGTGTGCAGTTTGGCACCTTGCCATTATCATTCCCTGGTTGAGGGATATAACCACAAATGAAACCTTCTCATGTCACTTGTTTGTTGACACTCAGAGCACAACCACTAGGTTAGTAGCATAAAGACTGACAATGGGGGGTCTGGCCCCTTCTCATCCCAAGAGGTATGTGTATTCTGGCTGAACTACATCCCTCAAGGATATCCCATCTGATCAATCTATTGCTTCACCTTAACAGATTCAAACTTATGTCCAACTCATCCTTCCTGGAGAGCTCTCCAAGCATGCCATCTCGGAAGGAACTAGTCGTGTCGAGGTACAACAGGCTAACTTTGTGAGACCGCCAAGCCCCACTACATCCATGCATCTACCTGTAACCCTACAGTTTCAAATGATTGCCACCCATTGGAGCCACATGAGAGCACTGGTGAGCTATGTATGTAGAGCCACCAACCAAAGTTTAGAATTCAAATATCTAATTCCTCTGAATCATTGCCTGAGATTGGAGTCCAAAATGAAAATATATACAACATTGGGCCCAGTGGCCTCAAGCCACTCATGATTTCTGGACCAAGGCAAAGAACGGTTCAAAAGGTTGGGGGGAGAGGCCCATGCCCCAGGCTGGACTGCCATTGGAATCATTTGCCTTGGAGTGGCACCAACCTCATCTCATCCTCCACTTTTCCACATTGGTTTATTTTCCCACCTGTTTTTTTTTCAAACCTTGAATATGCCCCAGCCAATAGTAAACCCCCAGCCTTGGGTACAAACATGGCCTTGGATTGGAGAACTCGTCTGTTGAAAACTGTTGCTAATAAGGATGGCAAACAGGCAGGCTTGGGCTGCCCGTGGGCCGGCCCGCCAGGGCCCATCATCTTAGCAGGCAGGCTTGGCCTGGCCCATTTAGCAAATGGGCTGGCCTGGCCTGGTCCATTTTGCAAATGGGCTGCCCGTGGGCTGCCCGTGGGCTGCCAGCACAGAAAATAAAAGACAGAAAATGAAATATTAAGGACAAGGAGGCTGGCAAGTTTTTAAATTTTTTCAATTCATTCAATATAAGTAAAAATGTGAGCCTGGATCTCAATAGTGACAGCAGGACACAAGGTTTTTTGGGGGGCACTTTTAAATGTATTTCTAAAGATAGAGGAAATACAAGTAAAAGTAGAAGAGAAGGAAAGAAGAGAAGGAAAAGAATAGAATAATCTTTTTGTTCTTTGTTTATTTTATGGAGAAGATTAAATTATGGCAGTCTTACTGTCCCTCTTGGGTGGCTGCAAACAGTCTTACTTTCCTTAGTAGGATGGCTGTTATAAGCAGAGCTAACTCTGACGCCTCCAAATCAACAGAAACTGAAATGGGTATTGACACTGATGAATCAGGTCAACCACAATTTTTTAGATCAAAGATCAAGGCTCTTTAAAGGGAAACCTATGTAGTTTTCAGTTGTACTACCAAACAGGAAGAGAAGAGATAATAGAAGCTGGAGCTTGCTTTATTTGATCAGGGCTTTTGGTTGGAGAAGAGTGAAGAGAAACTGAGAGAGACAGAGAAGAGAAACAAGCAGAAAGATGCTAGCTTGACTTATGAGAAGAGACTTACTAATGATACCAATGACACTGTGTAGTGGGAAAGGTAGGAAAAGTGAGGTCCTTCTGGTTGATAAGTCTTGATCTGGGTCTGGTTGTTGGTGTTCTGTGTTGGTCTGGAGTCTGAAAATCCTCTGGAAGCGGAATCAACAAGCTCAGAGAGGATTTTCAAAGTTGGATTATGTAATCTGGCATGTACATGTGGTAGAGGGAGCTGAAACCTAAAGGTTGGAATAATTCTTGGAGTACTGTGAATTATTACAAAGTCAATGAAGGAATGGAGTTGGGTAAAAGTGATCAGTGGTGACTAGGGTTAATTTTACACCAGGAATCCATTTCTGAAGTCAAAAAGGTAAAAAGTCTTAAGATGAAAAAGATAAGATAATATTTGGGATAGAAATGGGCAGTTTTGGCAGTCTTTTGGCCAGCTTGTCTGGCTCTAAGGCTGACAAAAAACAAAAAGGACTACAGCTTCATGGAGGTGGGTATTTTTTTCATTTCATTCATTTTTCAATGATTTTATGTAGAAACGTGTGTCAATATGAGTAAAAAAAGAGAAACATGTGTAAATATAAGTAAAAAAAGAACTATAACCTATTTTTCTTTGAGCCTTTCATCCAATCCTGGGTGCATATTGAGATTTCAACTGATTCATCACTGAGGCGCATGCGGTAATCGTCTAGAATGCGACCTCCAGTAGAAAAGGCAGACTCAGATGCGACTGACGTCATTGGAATCATGAGAATGACCCTGGCAAACTCAGACAAAGAAGGGAATCGAGTTGCATTTGATTCCCACCAAGCTAGAACGTTGAAGTGATCTTCCGAGGCGTTTACGTTTCTTTCTTCAAGATATAGATCCAACTCTGCCGCAGGAGCATTGAATTGAGAACCGCCCTGGGTGCCGGCCATGTACTCCTGGAATCCAGAGATATCGGCATCAATCTTCCTCTTGTTTGTGGTGGTTGATTGAGACACAGTTGCTGGGCTGGGATCGGGTGACTGAGGGATAAACTGATTCCAGAGGGATAAGAAAGATGATCGAACTTTTCCAATAAAGGTATCGGCTCGGGCCACTGGGAGATTTTCCAGCTTCTCAAGGATGTAGCGGAGATAGCGTATCTTGTATCGAGGGTCTAGAATAATTCCTATGGCCGTAAGTTCCTTTGCTGATTCCCAGTATTTGTCAAACTTTGCCTTCATCGGGGAAATCATATTGAATATGTGAGGATGTTCTTTTGAGTTGTTGGTTTGGGTGAGCTGCATCTCGATAGCTGTCATTGCTCGGTAGGCTTGGTTGATTGTTGGATACTTGGTCCCACTTAGCAAAACAGTGGCTACAAGGATTGAGTTATAGAATCAGTACAAATTTATAGGTGCAAGAGAAAAGAAAAAGAAGTTTATGCTCACCTCGATAAAATGGTTCAAGGAATTCTTGGATGACTGCAAGCTCCTCCCATTCAAGCTTGCTTGGGCAAGATTCAAATTTGTCATCTCCAATGGCTAGCTGTTGGAAGGCAAGCTTGCATGGCGTGGAGGACTGGATCATGAGGAACGTCGAGTTCCATCGGGTCGGGACATCTTTAGAGGGGTGTTGGCTTTCTGGGTCAAGGTCTACCACTTCGCGAGCTTTATCAAATGCATCCAAACGGGATTTCGAGCCGTGTATATAGAGAACACTTGTGTGGAGTTGCTCAATAGCAGTACAAACAGTCTTGAGCCCATCCTTGACGACAAGGTTGATAATGTGGGCCAAGCAACGGACATGAAAGAATTCGGATGTTGATGGAGTTGAGGCGGAAGAGTTGCGATCATTGATAAATCGTTGCAGTCGAGCCATGGCCACATTGTTGGAACTTGCATTGTCAAGCGTTACGAATCCAATCTTGTTCACGGCTTTCCATTCAAGCAAGATCTGGCTGAGTCGGTCGGCAATCGCTTGTCCAGTGTGTGGAGGTGGGAGGGTTCGGAAGCTGATAATCGTTTTGATCAGTTCCCACTTAGGATTAATGTAGTGGGCTGTCACTACCATATAGCCGGTCATATTGGAGCGGACCACAAATCAGTAGTCAGCAATATAGCGGTTGCTTTTGCTACCTTGGTGGGTTCTATTGCTTTCATGCTTTTGAACACCTTGACACAATTGTTGCGGACACTCTTGCGTCCAGGTATCTTGAAGTTTGGCTGAGCTGCTTCCATGAAATCGGTGAATCTGTTGCCATCTGCAAACGCAAAAGGAAGTTTGTCTAGAATTATCATCATGGCCAATTTTTCGCGAATGAAGTCTTGAGAGAACGTCCAGGAGCGGTTAGGCATCATTGTGGAGGATCCGGGTAAACTGACAATGCCTTGTTGAGGCTCGACTACCCCCCCCCCGTGTGCCTCTATGCACTTTTTCGAATGACGGTGGAGGTGGTTAGTCCCAGATGATGGAGCTGCAGAGAGTCTAGTGTTGCAGTAATTGCACTGCGCCTTGGGTTGCCCATCTATTTAATTACCAGAATTAAAATCAAAACAGTGTCAATTGGCACAGTGCAACTCTTGAGATTCAGAATCATCAAACATCAAAGAAAAATCTTACCTTCCTCAAGGCTCAGGAAGTGCTCCCACACCTTGCTCGTACGTTTGCGCCTCTTTGCTTGGCTGTCTTCTTGTGATTCACTCACACTATCCACAGCGGGGCCAGCAGGGGTCTGAGGTGTCCGTCTAGTACCCGTCTTTTCCGGGTGGAGTTGTGTGGGGGTGTCCTGGATATCAGATGCCCCGTCTGTTGGAATTACAATTTATTTGGGGGGGTGCTGTTGACAATGGCAATTAATTGGGGTTGGGTTGGGACTCAGGGAGTGCCTTGAAATTTGAGGTGGGGAGATACAAACTGAATCAGCTCATGTCGGACAGAAGAATATTTATCATAACCGAAGGATGAGAATATGAGAATAATAATTTGTACAGCATGCACTTA